GGGTTAAACTGCTCTCTCCCTTAAGTTGCTCAAACTTTTTCAACAATACATATTTCTCTTACAGTTCGTAATATTTTTGAGATCCTGATCACTTGCAGACGTGGATGCATTTCCTCCGGGTTTTGATTGTTTGTACAGTACATAGGCGCCTTTCTATATCTAAGAAGCAAGCATTGCCTTGAGCATGGTTATCTGTGATTTGTAACATATTAACATTTTCGAAGATGCATATTTATTGTACAATTTGTTCCATACACCAGATGCAAATGTCACTTGTAGTTTATCTTATGCCTAACCGTATGGCTTTCAGTCAAGGATTTTGGTGGGTATTCTATAATTGAATGGCATGCCATGCTCTCTGAGCCCATTGAAGCATGAGATTTGACAATCCTGTCTAGATTTAACGGATGAAGAGAAGTTTTGGAGCATTTTGCTTTGAGAAGTTACTGTTAACAAATTTACCACAACTCTGCTGTTAGTTTCTTATTTGATTGCATATGTTTCTGGAGTTAAAATCCCCCGCAGCAGAGTATGGCCTGGGAGTTGATGTGTTCTCTAGATGAGTATAAGATGTTTGCTATATAGTTTTGGTACTCTATCAGCAATGATGCAGAGATTCTTGGAAAATATTCTGCCTGGGTTGGTGCTATTTTAGTTGGTAAGAAGAAATGACTTGTCTTTTTTTCTCTTGAAAGCAATGTTTTGATTAGTTTCTTGTAGTTTGGTAGTTGATGTTGTTTTGAGCATTGTCACAATATATGCTTAGTTGTGCATGATGGTGGCAGTTCGTATTTAGTGTTGCTTCCAGATGGCTGGTTTGATTCTCGATCTCATTTATCATTTCATAATGAAGGATGGCAATGCCATTGTTTTTCCTATATCTTCCTGAAGACTCGAGTTTGTGTTTTGTAGGCTTCGGAGCTCATTATGGCTTCAATTTAAACCCCATCACATTGCTGCTGGAGCTGCTTACCTTGCTGCCAAGTTTCTTAACTGGGATCTTACACCCTATCAGAATATCTGGCAAGAGTTTGAAACAACCCCAGCGATTTTACAAGGTACCAAATTAACTATTTTCACCAAAGTGGTAATAATCATTTAATTTTGTGAGAATGTGTAATTGTTAAAAATAGGAAAAAAAAAGGTTCGACAACAAGTTTTCAGTCTGAAATTAATTTTTACAACATGGTTTTTTGTTCGTTTAACATGTATGATTATTGGCCTATGCTGAATATTTTTGTTAAACGGAACCTATGCCATTAAACAGGTTGACTTCTGAAGTAGTCAAGTATATATTTCTAACTGAAATACTGCAGTTATTTGAGTATGTGGCAACTGTTTGATGCAGATGTGGCAGGGCAGTTGATGGAGCTCTTTGGGGACACATAAATACTGGTACATTAGGATGCGATTATATGTTATTGTTGCTTCTAAAAGTGACAGGAAAATGGATTATGAAGATTGGCTTGGGTGTAAATGGGAAGGATGTGCAGCAGAGATGGCAATATATTTGTCTTAAAGAGGGGAGGGGAGTAGAATCACATCAGAGTTTAAACGGGGATATGTTACTCGTTCGTAATTTTAACGGAGTTAAAAAAACACGGCATACAAATATTCTTTTTTACAAGTTACAAATAAGATTTCTTTTAAGGCTTTTGTTATTATTACTTTTTAAGACAAAAATGTTTAAATGCTTAATTTCTGGGTTGTGGAATAAGGTTTGCTAAAAAAGTTGTTCATTTTCTGGCAGGACTTTGTGCTTTAGAAAGATATTTCGTTAGCATATGAGCAAAACCTTTTATCATTTTTGTCAAAAGATTTTATAGTTACATAAAATAGAATTATTTGTTAAAAAATTAAATAATTTTTTATTAAAAAAATAAATATTAAATTGAAAATAGACATTACTTTTTTTTTTTTTTGGGACTAAAAACGAGGTCAAATACTATTTAGTCTTATTTTGAAATCGAAGAATTCTGAATCATCAAACAATCATTTTTAAAGTGAAGATTTGATTTGACGAGAGAAAACAAATATCTCTAATATCATATAATTAGCAATTGTGCTGTTATATGTAAGTCTGGACTGAACATACCGTGCCAACCTATTATTATAAGTGCAAATGAATTCATTTGTAATATTTATTGGACAACTGCCTTTAAGTGAAAATCTGATATATTGCACAAGACAAAATAAATTTCCTCTCGAAGTACTAAAATAACACCCCTCTCAGTCTCCAAAAACACTTCCCTTTACTCTTTTCACTCGATCTACTACTTCTTAGCTCCATTGCTGACTTGAAAAAATTAATGCATAAAGGCAAGTCTCAAACTGTGGTTTTAAACCTTCTTCTATTTTATAGGTCTATAGAAAAGAGAATTGTTCTTGATCTAAGCATAACACTAATGAGCACTTTGGAACCTACCACAAGGTCAAGTTTATACACCAAAATTTTACAATATCGTAACGATATTACTTAATTAATTAACTAATGAAAATAAAAGAAATGAATAATTTAAATACTAAAGCAATAAAACAAAACCATCATTTATTTAGGCTAATATGAATTTTTGTGGACTTATTTTTAATTACAAATAGCCTTCCATAAGACAGTGAAAATGTATGGCCGCCATAGTTCTTCTAACATTTTTTTTTGAAAAATAATCCTTAACTACTTTACTACCTGTAAGATTTTTCACCATCAATTGTGAAAGAATGATAGAAAGATAACATAAAAAGTTGTAGAGTGAGGGCCAAGAGCAACCCTCCTTTCCAGAGCAAAGGTAAATCTCTTCCGCATCCAACGCTTCCTCCCAACACCGATTCTTGAAAGTTTGTAATCAAGTAATTAAGCATTCAAATCCTCTTTTGTACCAAGGCCTTTCAAGCAGTAAAATCAAAATCAATGACGAGTTAGTGATTGAAGTTCTCGAGCAGTCAAATTTTGAGTTAGTTATTAAAATTAAAACTTCCAAACAATCAAATCCAAATTCATAGCAATTTCTTTGAAAACTTTAAGAATTTCTACAACCGTGGAAGCATAAAGAGTATAAGATCTCTTGACTTTTAGTATTCTCCCTTTAAAATTATCTTCAGGTGCTGATAATAGCGAAAAAGGGTAGATTGATACAATATAAGCTTCTGGTAAAATGTCCCCCCGTAACCCAGCAGATAAAGTACATTACACAGTCCGTTTTAGAGATTGGCGACTTACCCATTCAGTGACTTTGGCACTGGACGTTCCCAAAACAAAATTGGTACTATCGGGTCGGGTGAATTCAATAATAGACGCCTGGTGGCATTCCAACCTTCCTTCTCCTTTCAGAACCTATCCGAAAGAGAATCCAGTACTTCTTGGTCGTAAATATCTGAATAGGACGAATCGCCCCGTGAATATCTTTGCTTCGGAACAAAATAATTAGAATTAGGTTTGGTCAACTGGAATGTGTATTATCCATATAGCAGATCTTCCAATTGAGAAGATCCATCGACCTGAGACGAAGAGAAATGTCTATCTATTTTATTTAGTTATTCAGTTAAACCAATGATTCGTAATAGAACTTTGATTATTTGTTTAATTTGTTAAAATTTACTTTTATTTAAAAATTGAGTGATTTCTACGTCAAATCAAAAATACTATCAAAATATAATCATATTTGAGATTAAGCACACCCACATTTGAACCAAACACGTAAACAATCTTATTCACAAGCCAACCTACTCTGCCATCAAATTAAGAACATATTCAAGAAGGTCAAATAAGATATAATATATATATATATATTGCAAAAGGATAGAAACACCGTTTTTATCATATTTATTTAAAAATATTTAAGATAGTGTTATCATATCGATGGAAGAATATGTTTAGTTTTGGAAGAAAATTTGAGATTTATTATGGTACAAAATAGTTCCACTATTTTCTCGGGAAAAAAGTTGTTCCTCGAAAGTATAGTTTTTTTCTGTCACCAAATGTAAAATTACACTGCTTTCCAGAGTTTAATCCTGTAATTTTGAGGAAACTGCCTATAAGATTCTGAACCCCAAAAATTTGATTCTCCCAGCACCTATTTGGTGCGGTAGCACGGGATCTACAATTTGAAGTTCAACAGTTTTATGGAAATACGTTAGATCATATGTATATATACAAATTTTTGCCGCTAAGGGGACAAGAAAGCAAATTATCACGGACAGCATCATAACATATTCCAACTCGAACTATTACACCACACTGATCTTCCTGAGAAACAAAGAAACACATCTGAACGTGGTGAAAAATGGAGCTTTCCTTTATGTGACTATGAAATTGAAAGCATTATTGATGTATTATCTCCATAAACTTAGTTGCAAGAATGTTGAATCTCAGTATTCAAACACTTAGTCCTCACTTACATGATATCTCGGCTTCTTCAAAAACTTTCAGAATGGTTTAGCTGATGAGGGCTCAGAAATACTGAGTTCAGTGTACATGTCCAATATTGCTTTCCCAAAATATTCCTTTGCTTGAGGTCTCTTGATCTGGTAGTAGTAAGTTCACAACACACATTTCAAGTTAGTGTTTAAAGTCTCTTTAGTTCACTTTTTTTAGATAATATATCTTTAGATCATTCAGAGAAAAAAAAAAGAAAAGAAAAGAACAGAGAATTTTCTTGCCTTAAATGTTGGAGTGAGCAGACCATTTTCCGTAGTAAAAGGTTCAGTCACCAGAGTTACACCCTTGGCAAATTCAAAACCTCTCAGCTGCAAAGACATTATTTGGATAAAATATCAGTTGCCGGAAAGTTTGTTTAAAAGAGAATATAAACATCAAATTCATTTTATGCAATGCCTCAGCTTCTTTTCCAATAGCATCCATGTCCGCCAGGACTGCAGCCCTTGCTCTTGGGTCATTGCACAGTTGTCCCAAATCTTCATACTGCACATGGAACATTGGGAAGAAGATTCAACAGAACCAATGGGATCACCAAATAAGAGCTATGAGTTTCAATGAGATGAAATGCACTTAACACAATTTTAGCATGATAATAATTTTACGGTGCAGAAACATCCACAATTTTCTTTGAACTCTTTCTTCTCGTCAACTAGATTGAGCAGAATCAGAATTATATGCTTTTTTTCGGGTGAAAAGCAGAGAGATTAGAAAAGCAATTTCCCTCCTACAATAGCTAGAACAACAGATCCCTCCCGACAACGGCTAGAATCAAAGAAAATGTTATTATTGTTTAAACCATGGACAGTTACTATAAGTTGAGTGTATAACACTTAGACTACCAACTTAAAGGCAAATTTTAAGCTGAAGTCGCCAATATATCACGACCAAAAACTAGAACGTACTAAGCTTCTTGATTGCTTTTTTACATGAGTTTTGGTAGGGGGTAAATAGGCATGAGAAATATTCATCCCTAAGTTATAGAGTCCACCTTATGAGGTATTACGTTGCAAAGTCCTAACGATGAAAAAATACTAGCAGATTTAATAGTAGATTATATGAGCATATTTTACCGTGTGTGCTGCACACAAAGAGGTTGGATCTCAAGTAATTGAATCTTGTAGAAGAAAGTCTCTCCATGAAAATTGTTAGCTAATTGACCTTGACTAACAACATCTTGTACTACTAACTACCCTGCCAATATTTTTTTATCTAAAAAAGTGAATTTCCAATTCAATATACTAAAAATGAGCATGACTGACTAAATTAGAAATCATAGAAATAAGCATTAACATTTTACAATAAAAGAGGTTTTTATGAAGCAAAATAAATCTCCTTGTGCATTTTTTGACCAGGATATGTCAAAAACTGCTGTGAGGAGAACATGATGTTCAGCCTAAGCACACAATAAATCATGTCTTTTTCTTGGAACATCAAGAGATCAAATTGTTGCCGCGAAAAATAAATACCGTGTTAGATCAATGGGTGTCAAGCCATCATCTCTAGCCTGCATTTGAGTATGCTAAACGTGTAGGGCAGTCAAAGAAAAGTTAAATATCATAATGTAGAGTACCTCATATGTAAGGTAATATTCACTTTACAGCATAAAGATGGTCGTCATGAGGTTATGTATTCATTGGCAAACTTGGTTGACAGTAAAGGAAATCTTAACATGGGTCCAGTTAAGATTTATGTATCAAATCTTAACTGGACATGACTACCTAGGGGTTTACAGTCTCTTATATCACGTTGACGCAATAAATCCAAAGCAAACTCGCTTGGGTCAAAAGGAGACCCCCCTTATTTTGAGAAACTTAGATACCTAGAAAAGAAAGGAGAATAGTAATAAAAAACTCCTTTTTCAAGTTGACGAGAGGAGACTGTGACAAATCAATAAAAGTGCAATTACAATGATATCATCAACATACAACAAGATTATAACTAAATGAGAACAATGCTTGTAGATAAACATAAATATGTCTGCATGACCTAAGGTTGAAGCCTCGAGCAAAAAGAAAAGATGTAAGACGTTGAAACGAAACTCGAGAGCCTTATTTAAGACCTAATGTAGTCTTATTCAGTTCACAAATATGTGACGGATAGTCAAAGTTCTTAAATACCCGAAGCTGCTTCACATAAAATTCTTTAAGAACATCGTGAAGAAAAACATTCTTGATATCAAGTTGATGAATTGGCCACTGGTAAGAAACAACATTGGACAAACTACGAATTTCATAATTGGACATAAGCTTTATCATAATTGATGTTTGATTGTTGACAAAAACCTTATACAACAAATTGAGCTTTCTAGAGAACTACCAGCTTTCTGTTTGACCTTATAGACAACTGCATCCAACAATATTAGCACTAGGTGGCGGAGTACAAGATACCACATTTTATTAGCAAGAAGAACATCAAATTCAATACTCATGGATCATCTCTAACTGCACAACTGGAAGAAGTAGGCCCAAAAGCACTGGAGGGTACAATAACAGTAATGGCTAGGAGTTTGAGCAGTGGATTTCATTTCTCCATCGGAATGGTAATAAAAAGTTTTGGTTTGAGAATCGTAAATTGTGACAGTAGACTTATAATTGATGACTGGAGATAATGAATAGTCTCATAAATTGAAGAGATTTTGGAATTGAGATGAATCAATAACATTAGTTGATGAGGGGAGGGAGAGAAAGCAATCAAATCCTTATCATTATAAAAATCCTGCACACGAAAAAACAACATTTTGGAAAAAGCAATGGTAACCTTTGTAATTGTCTGAATATCCAATAAATACACATACAATTACTTGTGAGAGAAAAAAATTAGAAAATACTATGTGGCTGTCATATGAGAGAGTATTCCAATATCAAGTAACCAGGATGTTTGATGGGGCTCCAGAAATTGGAATAAGGAGAACAACCTATAGACTAAGTTAGCCCGCATCCAGGGTTGTTGACACCTACCTTAATAGTAAAGGACATTCTCAGACAATATGATTATATCTCAAACAAAAATGGTACTGAGAACATGTGGAGAAGTGATTGGAAGGTTGGTCTACAGGAAAGGGACCAAGAATTCTATGTGAAAACCATTAATAAGAAAACCAGTGGATTGAGTGGTAGGTTGATTGCAGCATTTGCCACATGATCCCATGTGTCCCTTATAACTAAAAACAGATTGCCTACGACCACTTTGACTGGACTAATTTGTGGTAGAACGAGACTGCTGAGAAGCATTTGCAGCAACAAAGGCAAAAAAATTTTGTTGCCTCGAAGTGTCCTTTTTGATGCCGTGCAAGTCAAACCTCCTTGAAGTACAAGGTAGTTTGAAGTTTGATGGAGTGTAGCAGTTTCTGAAAACTTAGGCTGACGATGACATTTTTATAATAAATGGGAAGAACTTCCATGATCGAAAAACTGAATCATCTTCAGAGAGCTTATAGCCAATAGACACTAGGGAGTCGAACAAGGTCTTCATGTACCGAAGATATGCCAATTGACAAGTCAGATTTAAGAAGTATAGCATTCTGATTTGATCATTATGCTTTGGTTCAGGTCTATTCGATTGTAGATGTTCAAACAATGATTTTTGGACTTCCAAATATACAAACATCTAGTTACACAATTAAAAGAAAATTGAAGACAAATGCAAGTCCATTTGCAACCACCAATCAGTCACAACAAGGTAACCAATTCAGCTAATAGGACACCTATCAACAGTGAGAAACTATAAACGGTGTTTTCAGGAAAACAAGAAAAGAAAGAAGGAAAAATTATGAAGGTTTCTACCTTTATGCCTTCAGATGCAGCCCATGCTTTCAGAACTTCCTGTTCAACTGAGACAATGGCTACCAAAGAAGAATTCAGACTGTCACCTGAGAACAAAATTAAACATGAGTTGGCATGGAAGAGAAAAAGATCAACAAAAGGTGACAGAAAAAGCCTCATCTCTCACCATATACAAAACACTGGGCTACAAATTTGCATTTAGCATACACATTTTCAATTTTCTCAGGAGCTATATACTCTCCTTGTGCCAACTTGAAAATGTTCTTCTTTCTGTGCCAAAAAGAAGAAGCTCCAGTTAAATTCATGATCTATGGAGGAAAAAGTAACAGAATATACTCCAGCAAAGTTCATCACAGAATTGAAAGAAATTCATTATCTCTTGACATGAAAGAAATCCAGCAAAAGTAGATGTTAACTCTGCAGTCCACCTGGGGTCCCAACATATTTTAAGATGACCTTTGGAAATATTTAGAAATTACATGAAAAAAGATTTTATTGGAAAAGGCTTTTATATCATAAATAAACGGTGCCCAGTTGAAGAAAAATTGCCTGGGAAAGGCAACAGTGCATATGCAATAATTTCACGCGATTCGCAGTTTCTCAGTTGCGTTCAACAAATGCAAAGAATATTTACTGAGAAAACCTGCCAACTTCAGAATTATGTTTACAGAAAGAACACATCATTGCACAAGGCAGGTAGAAGCAAGGTAGTGCAAAAGTTTAAAGCTTTCTCCTGTAGGGGAAGATGGCAAATTATTCACATTCAATAAATCCAGTAGGTGGCAATACTTCCCTTCTTCATTCAACAAAAGGGATTTACTAATCCACCATCTTTAAAACTCTTTGTGAGATATAACAAATTAAATGAAAGACCATAGATAAGGCACCACAATCTCACCTATCAACAATCTGAAGACGACCTCCAGTTAACCATAACCCTATATCTCCAGTATGGAGCCATCCATCTTCATCAATTACTTCTCTCCTGTAGATTTTAATCTTTAATCAGATGTTTTAGGAATTAATATAGTCAATAAAGAAAAGTATAACCAGCAGATATGAAGTGAGTACGTCTGCATTTGATCCTTATAGTAGCCTTGGAAAATGGTAGGACCCCTAACACAGATCTCACCACGAGGGTAGGGCCGATCCCCAGTTGTGTAGTTCATTTCTGGGACATCCACAAGCTTTATTTCTGTAGCAGGAAAAAATAGTAATAAACATAAGAGTTAAATAAAGAAAACTTGTGAATAAAGCCAAGAGAGAAGAGAAAAACCATAGGAGAAAAACCTGTTTCTAGATAAGCTAATCTAATCCCAGGAGAGGAAAAGAACACAATTTATTTAGGTTTGTGTTAGAAATGGAATGTTAAATCAATACTCACTATTT